AAAGTAAGACAGGACGCACGTCGCACGACAACTCGGAGCTTCTCTTCCATGTCCCACCCAGTCAATGCCGCCCGCACCTCGGTTTGCAACTCATGTGGAGAGCGCACCTGACCAAGGTAACCCGCCGGCACATTCACCTCCACCGTCTGGAGCCTGGGAAATGCCCGTGCGGAAATATTCGCCCGCAGGTTGCTGAGTTCAACTAGTCGAGCGTACGCTGGGCCGAAGTTGTCCCGGCTGTACACCAGAGTGAGAAGCGTGATGGAGTCGGATTGGAGTAGCGGGGCTAGCCGCGTCAATGCCAGGCCGTGAAGGCGTATCACCCTCAGGTGCGTAAGGGCAGGAAGGTCGGCCACGGCGATGCACAGCGGCGAAGTGCCAGATGTTTTATATGCTCTGGGGGCTAACGGGAGTTAGATCTTTTTTTATCCTGGAATCTGAACAAATCAACGCACAGATTGAGAGGGTAGTCAGGCTCAACCGTGCGGAGGTGAGCAGGGTCGCGGGTGCAAAAAACAGGTCTCGGGTGTCGTATTCCAGCTCGCAGAGGGCCCTGATGTCGAACGGACAGCGTGGATGGAAGAACCACGGCCAAGTGGGCCCTTCCTCGTGGATGTGTAACTTATTAATCTTTATGCGTCGCAGCGGAGGGCTGGGAACGGTCTCCGCATCCAAAACATCCGAGCGATCTAGGATGAGGGCATCGAGCTGTGATGTGTCCGTTGCGAACAACAGATTGAGATCCGAGATGGTTTGGAAGACAACGGCTTTCAGGGTCACAGACCGAATCGAGGGAAGACCGACGAGGTTGGCCGCCAATGTCACTTCCGAGCGAGTGGGAGAGAGTTTGCCCGCGCCCACGAGGATAAACTTCGTGAGGTTGGGAAAGTCGAATTCCGCCAATCGAGTGAGCACATCCGGCTTGGGATGGGTGTGTACGCGCCGAACGAAGGCGAGAAGGTGGGGACCTGCCGATAGGATGGTGAAGAGGCGGTCGCAGCCTCGCGCGTGTCGGACAAGGTTTATGTCACGGAACAGATATCGTTGAGCCGCGGCGGTGAACACTGGGGAAACCAAGGCACAAGATTGGATGTCGGCCTGGGAGCCGTGCAAGAAGTCTACAACTTGCTCGCAAAGTTCCTGCACGTGAAGGGCAACACTTGCCATCTGGGTCGGAGAGGTAAGAAGTGAAGCAAGAGCCCGAGTAGCGGGGGATCGAGGACGAGACTACAGAAGTTGTTGGTTCGTGGAAGAAAGAAGAAGGCTGACTGCTAATGCTGTGCGGTCGTGATTGGCGTCGGAGCTTTAATTTAAGCGGAGTTGAATGATTGTACGACTCGGGAGCTCGGCAAATTCAACCACGATTGGGGCAACCGGAGTTGCAGATTGTGAGCCGTCGAAGGTGAGTTGTCAAAGGAGTAAAGGAAAATCGGCGTCGTCGAGGGAGGGCGACGATGCCGGTGAGAGGCGCCCACTAGTGACAGTACTGCAGAGGAGGGAAACCTGGCCAGGTAGTAAGTAGTAACCCGATCGTTGTCGCCAGAGGGAGAACGAAACTCAAGAGACCAGCGCTGACTCCGTTGTCGAGGCGGTGGCACGAGGAATAGCTTGATTGAATCCTTGAGTCGGCCGCGCCCAGCGATTTTGAATTTCGAAGCCGTCTGTCGGCGCGCGGAATTTCTTGAGATTCCGTCAGTCAGTGCTCCGAACGTCGTTCCATCGCCCGTGAGTCCCACCGGCCCAGGACGAGTACTTATGAGCAGTCAGCACTGTTTGATGGCCTTAATTGTGTTTTATGAACCTGATTTGCCTCCCAAATCCCCTCGCCATTTTACAGAAACACAATTTACAGACGACCGTTGGCGAGGTATTCGGAAGCCCGACTCAAACTCACATAAAAAAAATTGGTCCCCACGACTCTGTCCTATTCGGGCGCGGGGAGTCGAACCCCGAGCTGCAGTAACGAGGACACACGGGAAAGTGCTTCTGTTGTACCACACCCGAGATATGCCTCTGAGACTGTCGGTGGTCTACAGGTTCAATTTCTTGTCTCGAAACTTTTTTTCTTCTTGTTGTGTTCCGCGGAAATCCCGACAAAAAACACAATTTCCTGGTTGCGTTGCGATAATTGCTCCAGGTGTATCTAGGCACCAGAATCTCCAGCAGTCGGTAAGGTTCAACAAACCCGGGGAAATGAGGAAAGAAAGAGGCAAATCAGTTACATGCACAGTCCAACCACTCGGGTGCGGGAGTCGAACCCATGGAACAGCATATCAGGAGCAGAAGTGGCTAACACATAGCCGCCATGCACCGCGCACCACATCCAAATCATGCTCTTACAACCGGAGTTTGTTTGTGACAACAACCAAGCAATGCCGGCCTTGACTTAGAAAAGCTGCTATGTCCGACTCCCGCACCCCATTCATTGCAACATGAAGTTCTTTTGGGTGAGATATGGCTATTGCCAAAATTCAACCACGTCGCATTTTGTAGCCAGCGCCTCTTGCTACGAGTTAAAGCGGGTGTGGTGCGTGATGCAGCAGGCAAGAATTGGGATACTTCTACCAGTGGGCTGCAGGTGGCGGGGTTCGACTCCCCCCTGGCACTCGAATGGCGAAATAGCTGTAACTACCTTTTGCCTAAGACTCCTTCAACTGGTGGTTCAGGCTGCCGATCATCGCACTAAAGAGACATTGAAGCTGCTTGTTTTCTGGTTGAGCTAAGTACGAGAAAGAGTCAAAGACCTGGTCCAGATCAAGAGGAGTTGCAAAATCCAACAAGGCGGTATATACTATCTCCGACTGCCTTCCGAGCCAAACTAGGTTCGGAGCCATTTCGACAATTCAGCCATTTAGCATGCCGCCTAGTGTGATTTGAGGCTTGTGGGACGGAGCAGGTTGTATGAGGTTGTTGTAAACCAAAATTTGGCCCAGAGTGATGCGTTGATCAGAAGCTGTGCCTCGGTTGTTCCCGTCCGGTGGGTGGGAATTGATGATTTCTTATCACCGACCAGGACCCACTGTAAGGATCCCCTTCCAATATACCTACATTTACTTACATTTACTACGATCTTTGTTTATATCTATGTGGCAGTGCCAGCGTGGGAGCAACTAATCTTGAACCCAACGCTGACGCTGCCTATCTTCTAATATAATAGAACTTGGGACGGTTCAGTCGGGTGCTAGATATAAGTTATACTCCACCCACCTTATACCCACGCTCTTCCCTCGCTCATTGCTCCGCCAATTCTCCGCCGATTCATGGGTTTGGGGGCTCGTTTTGTTGCCTATACACAGGAGAATGCCCCCAGGGGGTAATAGGCTCCATCAGGGTGCGGAAACCTTTGATATATTGGCCAAGAATGACCGCACGTCATCTAGGTCAAGACCGCACAAAAGGGTCTCTGGTGATCCATCCAACCCGCGGGCGACCTTAGGATCTGGTATATACACTCAGAACACGCCCTTCAACATATTTACAGTTCTATTTCCCTGCCTACTGAATGTTTTGTGTTTAGTCGTGGCCCACTCTCCTCGACGACCCGTTTTCACTGTCACCGATACATGGACATTGTTCGGGGGGTTCTTGATTTGAGGAGGACATTTAACGTGCTTTAGTGTGTGCTAATACTTCCCAACTATCCTTATTTATGAGTGTCAATTTGGCCTCAGCTTAGACTCTGTTCCTTGCAGCACACAGGTTTTTGTCAAGACACCAATTTCATCCACTCTGCGCGGCCGGAAGGTCCATCAGTTAAATTCATTCTAAGGCCTCGATTTGTGCTTTGAGTGTATAGAATGGTTCATCTGAGCCCCTTGAGTGAGTACAAGGTCACTCGGCCTCAGCGTGCGCTTATGAACGGGTTATTTGGCCGGGTGGCTCGGAAGGTCGTTGATTGCCATTTTGGGATAGCGCTGAAAATAAATTCGCCGGGTGTCCGAATCAGGTCTCAAAATTCCCAGAAAATATCCTACTCTACTCGTAGGATGCCCACCTTCATTCTAGGGCACATATGCGGCCGATCGCCGTGCAGTAGCGGGGAGCCAAGGGCTAAAAGTGCTAAGGTGGCTCGAAAGGCAGTTTCCGATAGTAGCATTTTCACAGAGCTTGACCAGCAGCTCGGGTGTGGTGCGTGGTGCACGATGGCTGTTTGTAGACCTTTTCCTCATCAGGCTTCCAAATGTATATGCTGTGCCACGGGGTTCGACTCCCCGCACCCGAATGGCGGCGTGGTCGCACTAAGATCTTTTTGCCCAAGACTCCTTCAATGGCTTGTTCATCCCGCCTACTATATCAAGCTCTGGATTCAGTCAAGCCAGCGGTCTTCTTGTTCAAGCCACACAAAACAGCCAAAGGATTCGCAAAATCTCAACTCGGGGGTGGTGCGTGGTGTGCGGTGCATGGCAGATGCTCATAGACTGTTGCTGACCGGGCTTCAAATGCTTTTACATGGCTGGTCATTTACTAAGACTGCAAGTTCATTTCTGCCGCGTGCGAGTCCGGATGCATTGAAGCAGCAGCTCGTGCTCGTTTTTCTTTGCTCCGAGTCGGCACGGCACAAAAGAGTAAAAAAACCAAGGATTGATTGACAAAATTCAATCAAGGCCGACATTACTTGGCCATTTTCGCAGGCCTTGGCGCTGCTCTGCTTGTGAGATGATAACTCGGGTGTGGTGCGCGGTGCACGACGGCTGTTGGTCGAAAAAAAATATTGTAGTATATGCTGTTCCCGGGGGTTCGACTCCCCGCACTCGAACTGTGCCGGGCCGCCGCTTTTTCTTGACTGGGTTTTTGAACCCGGGCCCGAGATTTATCTCGCGTCACCGACTGCCGGAGGTTCCGGAGCTCTGATATGCGTGAAGCGATGGTAGACACTGGACACTACCCTAACGCGACCAAAGAAATTGTGCTTTTCATCAGGATTTCCGCGGGACTGGGGAAGAAAAGATGATCAAAGTCTCTGTGGACTCCAGCTTCAGTTCAGTCTTCAGAGGTGTATGTCGGGTGTGGTGCACGGTGCACAACAGCATCTTGTTGGCCATGTTGAAGAAGTCTTAGCTGCAGCTCGGGGTTCGACTCCCCGCACCCGAATGGCCGTGCAGTTGCCTTTTGCCCAAGACTCCTCCAACTGATGGGTCATCCCACCTACTATTCCGCTCCGGATGAATTGGGGCCAGTGCTCTTCTTGTTTAGCTTAGACGAGTCGGGAGGCAAAACAGTCAAAAAAAAAACAAGGATTCAAGTTGATTGGCAAAATTCAACCAAGCTGTTGCCTTGGCATTGCGAACCCGATTCCCACTAACGAAGTTGAGCTGAGTTCAAAGCAATCCCCTATTTTACGGATCAAGCGGGCCGTCGGGTAAATTAGTTGTGGTCGTGGCATCCTCGCGGTTTGCAGCCAACAAGGATGTCCTCGTAAATCCACCTCTCCTCTTCCAACACCAAAATGCTGCTCCTTCTCTTCCCAGTCCTCCTGCTCGCCCTTCTCGCCGCATTCTACCTCCCAATCAAACACCTCTACATCGCTCACAACCCTGGCGCTCGCACCCCACCTGTCCTCCCAACAACAGCCAGCACAACCACCCTCCACCTAACAACCCCGCCCTCCTCTTTGTCTCTACGCGGACGAGGCTGCGGATGCACTCGCTCCACAAACCCACCACGGTCGATTCTCACTGACAAAGTTGAAGTCAGTACATGTATATTTGTGAACATCATAATGAGATATATTTTATTACAGAAAGGTACAATTTATGCTAGCCTTCTGAGGTAAGTAGGAAGTTTGCTTTTTTGTGTGTGTTATTTGTTACGGCCGCTGGCACGCGTTACACATCTACATTGGGAATAGGGGGCCTTGAGACTAAATACGGAAGGCTACTGTATGTGGCTGCAGCCTGAAGAGCATTGCCATACTCTCCACCCTGGGCAATCACATCAGCTCCGTGGTCAATGAGCAGCCTCACGACCTCCATGCTCCCTCCTGCTGCTGCGGCCTGAAGAGCATTGCTGTACTCTCCACCCTGGGCATTCACATCGGCTCCGTGGTCAATGAGCAGCCTCACGACCTCCGTGCTCCCTCCTGCTGCTGCGGCCTGAAGAGCATTGCCGTACTCTCCACCCTGGGCATTCACATCGGCTCCGTGGTCAATGAGCAGCCTCACGACCTCCGTGCTCCCTCCTGCTGCTGCGGCCTGAAGAGCATTGCCGTACTCTCCACCCTGGGCAATCACATCGGCTCCGTGGTCAATGAGCAGCCTCACGACCTCCATGCTCCCTCCTGCTGCTGCGGCCTGAAGAGCATTGCCGTACTCTCCACCCTGGGCAATCACATCGGCTCCGTGGTCAATGAGCAGCCTCACGACCTCCATGCTCCCTCCTGCTGCTGCGGCCTGAAGAGCATTGCCGTACTCTCCACCCTGGGCATTCACATCGGCTCCGTGGTCAATGAGCAGCCTCACGACCTCCGTGCTCCCTCCTGCTGCTGCTGCGGCCTGAAGAGCATTGCCGTACTCTCCACCCTGGGCATTCACATCGGCTCCATGGTCAATGAGCAGCCTCACGACCTCCGTGCTCCCTCCTGCTGCTGCGGCCTGAAGAGCATTGCCGTACTCTTTACCCTGGGCATTCACATCGGCTCCATGGTCAATGAGCAGCCTCACAACCTCCATGCTCCCTCCTGCTGCTGCGGCCTGAAGAGCATTGCCGCACCACCCACACTGGGCATTCACATCGGCTCCGTGGTTGTGATACGACCTATATCGCTTGCTGATCTTGTGTCCGCGTCTGTGGAGAGGGTACGTGGTCGAGGGAGCGCAGCGTGTAGCGCTAGCTCCGCGCAGCTCCCTCTGATCCTCGAGAAACACGTCTAGGACGCAGAAAGAGGAAGCAGCGTGTAGCCCGTAGGCTCCGCGCTTCGCTCGTAGACGACTATGACGTAGGCGTCTTGAAGAGAGGGAGCAGCGAGTAGTCGTTGGACTCCGCGCTCCGCTCTGGACCCGTTGTGACCCTTCGGCGGCCGACGTAAGAGGCTAGGGAGGCAGTTGTACGCGTGCCTAGGCATCTGGTGGGGGCCGGAAGGTGAGACTACACTTATGATACCTCGGTCAACTCAAGTTGCTTGAGGTGATCATGGAGGTTTAGAGTGTAAGTTAGAATGTTTATTGTTTGTATCCGAAGGCGATACAAGGCGAGTAATTACGTAATAAAAGAATATGCAAAAGAATATACAAATATACACTATAAGTCCTTGAGTCTGCTACGAAGTGGGCGCGCCGCGTCACAGAGCCCCCCCAGGCTCGAGGACTTGAACCTTTAGAAGCGTCCCGGCGATGGACTTCTGTCCCTAGGCGGCGGGTAAAACTCATAGTCTTCTTGTACCCCGCTGCCCCCCGCTCCTGGCGTCCAGTCTGGCGTAGGGGAACGCCTGCGCAACCGATTGTGCTTCCCCGCTCGTCTTCCGCGCTTCTTCCTCTGCAGAATCTCCCCTTCCTCCAACTCACGCAGCCGTTCGTCTAAAGGCACGTTAGCCCTTCTCAGCAAGTCCCCTCGTCTCGAAGAATTGATCATCCCCGCCTCCACAGGCGGCGAGGGGTTAGACGTGGGGACGTCTGCTACGCGAAGCCGATCTACTAACAGCACGTTGGCTCTTCGCAATAAATCTCCCGCCTGACTCGAAGAAGTAGTCATCCCCGCTCCCAGAGGCAACGAGGGGTTAGTCAGGCGTTGGCCAAGACTTCTTTGCGAAGACTGCTCTCGCTCGCTGAGAGGAGTAGGGGGGCGCGGCGGGTGGTACAGTCTGCTGTACAGATCTGCTGGAGGTTGCGCCGCGACAGGGGAAGCCACAATCCGCGACCCGTCTCGAGGGGGTTCGGGAGGCAGGGAGTCTCCTCGATCCGTAGATGGTGAGCCCCGTCGCGGCGACGGCGGCGAACCGCGACGGTCCGGGGAGCGCAGTCTGCGTTCCAAAGGTCTACGCGGAAGGGACGGGGAGCGAGAACGCTTCGCTCGGGACTGTGAGGGGGAGTGGGAACGCGCCGAGGATGAACTAGACTCCGAGGAAGACCAATCATCTTCCCAGTCCCCGTCGCGCTGGGACGGAGGTGATCTTCTCCTCGCTCTTTCTCTTGACGCAGCCCTCCGCGCCCAAGGCGACAACGAGCGACTACGTCTGCGACGAGGGGAAGAGGATTTCCTTGAGCCACTCTTGCGTTGGGCAAATCTCTCGTACAGCGTCCAGTGCTGGTAAGCTCGCGGCTCGTCGACGTCCATAGGAATGTCGACCGCGCTGTCGCTTCCATGCATCAATTGGGGACGCCAGATCTCCGAGGTGAGCGAGCGCGAGTTCCCTCGTCTGCGTCCCGGAACAGAGCCAGACGGCGTGCCGGGCGTTGAGCGCCGAAACCAGCTCCGCCCTCGCTTCCTTGCGAAGGGCGCGCACCAACCGCTCCGCTAGGTCGAACGCCGAGACCTCCGCCGGTAAATGCCTTCACTGCAAGATTGCAGTCGGCGGTTCTTCCTCCTCCATCTCCATCTCCTCCACGTCCGACGCGGGATCTCCTAACGAAACAGCGTCGTCATCTACCTCAGCTTTGCCCTTTCCCTTGTCTCTGGGCAACTGAAGTTCTTCATTCCCTGTTTCGTTCCTCCCGCCTTCCTCAATTCCGGGCACATCCTCCTCGATCGTGTTGCCCCCCAAGGGCGCCTCCTCCATGGTTGCGTCTTCCACGACGACAGGCACGGCGATGCTCTTGACCTTCTCCGCGCTGCCAGCGCGAGCAGGAGTGACCGCTTCCAATTCTGATTCCAAGGGCGGAATAGCGAGCCGTCCCAACTCCCCAGGACGAGGCGCGCGGGTAGGGTACACCCAGTAGCTCGCGCTTCGCTGCACAAAGCCCGAGCCGGCTCGAGAGTAGCACTCCAGTCGTGGCGCGGGCCAGCCGAATGTCTGCGCCTTGAAGCAGCCCCGCGGGAAAACATAGTCTTCAGGGAGGTAGATCTCCCTTCCCAATTCGCGATCGTAGACGACCTTCGCCTCCTCTTGGTCCGTCTCCCATTTTTTTGCCTGCTGCAGCAAGACTTCTTTTCCGTTTTCCAGCTCCGACAGGGAGGTGAGTTCCCATTTCTATCACTTCTTGCCTTGCTCGAGGGCGTGCACGTCCGGAGGCGCTATCCAACTCACTCGCCCCTCGAACAATGCGACAATGTCCAGTGGTTTGAAAGGAAACTTCCCTTCTCTTCGCTCTCCAATTCTCCGCTCCAAGGCAGTAGGCAGCTCGGCTCCAGAAGCCCGCGCCCTTTGCCTGGACTCTATGAACAGAGATGAGGAGAGACGATGGTCAAGGGACCGATCCGTCAGGTCCGCGTCGCGGCCTGTATCTTCCTCCCACCACGAGATGGGAAAAGCCTCCCGATTGGCGATGAACGCGAAGCCATTGCTCGCGATGGACTTCCGCAACGCGACCTCCGAGCCTTCCACGAGCGACCCCAACACCTGAACCTCCTCTCTCTCCGACCGCCACATTTCCGTCGGCTCGTACCTGTGCGCGAAGAACACGGGCACCCTGGCATCAAGCAGTCGGGCGAGCCTTTCCTCCGCGGCATTGTTGACCCAAACCCCGACCCATTTCTCGTTGGCTACTGGGTAGCCCTTCTTCTAGACCTCCTCTGGCTTCCATCCCTTCGTCGTACCGTAAGCGCGCACCATGTCGATGTACGCCAACTGTTCCCGAAGGAAGAATTGGATACGAGCAGTCATGTCGACCGCTTCCTCGTAGCAGCGGGTCTGGAACAAGGAGTCGAAAGCTGATTGCGGTACAGAAGGGGGAAGGACGACGTCGACGACCTCCAAACTGCACGCTACGAGGACCTCGCGCGTCAGTCGTCCCAGCTCGTTGGACCAGTTGACGAGGCGCTGCACGAAGGTCGGCTTTACGTGGTCGCCGTCTTCTCTGCCCTTGGTCCATTCTACACAGACGGGCTGGTACGCTGGAGCGCAGGCCTCGTCGCCACGTACCGAAGAAGGACGGCGGAGAAAGGGGCGCCAGTAACGATCCTTGTCGTCGTACTGGGCCCATTCCGTGGGGTCGGCAGGG